TGCTGCTAAGAAGCAGCAACACTTCAAGGCAGCAACTTTTACCAGTAAGATGATGAATGAATCCATTGCTAACCACAGACAAAACTCATTCAATCAGCCTCAAAGGAAAGGCAGACGTATGTGCAGTTATTGCGGTATCCTTGGACACATCAAAGCAAAGTGTTACAAGTTTGTTGGTTATACTCCAGGCCACAAGTTTGCTAGAGGAAAAACACATGTTGCTAGTGCAGTTGCTCAAGCTCCAGTTGAGAGAAAATTTGAGGTTGCTAACTATCAGTCAAATGTGATTTTACTCAAGATCAATGCCAACAACTTTTGGCTATGCTTGTTCCTCGATTACAGAGACAATTAGCTACTGGCAGTTCAACAATACGGGATGTACCACATGCCTCATCAGCAAGTCCCGAACCATCTGCTTTTTCAGATAATATTCGTTCTAATGGTGGTGCAAATGGAGTTGAGTGGATCTTAGACACTGGGGCATCTGAACATATGGTTTGCTCCATCAGATACTTAACTAATATTACAGCTAAGACAAGTGCTTCTATAAGGCTACCAATGGAGATCTTGTGGCTGTGACAAATGTTGGCACAGTAAAGTTATCCGACGACTTGATTTTGACAGATGTTCTTGTGGGTGCCATCTTTTACATTTAACCTCATATCTACAAGCAATTTGATTCTGAAGTACAATTGCTTTCTGATTTTCATGTATGATTCTTGCCTTGTACATGATCTTTCAACATGGAGGACGATTGGGTATCAGCCAATTACAAATTCTGTTAAACCTTTCAATGTTAAGCTTTTTATCTCTTGTTACAGTCATGTTTCTAATCTTCATTGTAATAAAATTACTGCTAGAACTTGTAATTCTTTAAACAAGGATAATCTCAGCAGCCACATTGATATATGACATTGTCGGTTAGGTCATCTGCCTACTTCAAAGTTATCTGCCTTACATAAATATGTTCCTAACATCAAATTCAATAAACTCATACATTGCCCTATATGTCCCCTGGCTAAGCAACACAGACTCCCTTTTCCCCATAGTGAGACAAAAGCTTCCAAGACCTTTGATATCATCCATTGTGATATATGGGGCCCATATTCCACACCTTCTTTAAATAGATCTCAACATTTCTCACTATAGTTGATGACTATAGTAAAGTTACTTGGACATATCTCATGAGACATAAATCTCATACCAGACCAATCATTCAAGCCTTTTACTCCCTAATTCAAACACATTTTCACAGCAGTATAAAAACTCTAAGGTTTGACAATGGTATAGAGTTTTTGATGACAAAATTTTTTCATTCTAAGGGCGTTTTACATCAAGTTAGCTGTGTAGAAACTCTACATCAAAACGGCGTGGTTGAGAGAAAACACCAACACATATTAAACATTGTAAGAGCCCTCAAATTCCAAGCTAATTTACCACATAAATTTTGGGGTGATTGCATCCTCACTGCAATACACATTATTAACAGAACTCATTCCTCTATCCTTGCTGATAAATCCCCCTATGAAATGCTATACCAAACTGCACCATCGTATACCCATCTCAAGGTGTTTGGCTGTCTCTGCGATGCGGTCGCCTTTAAGAAAAATCGAACTAAATTTGATCCTAAAGCCACACCTTACATATTCATTGGTTATCCTTATGGTATGAAAGCTTATAAATTATATAACCTTCATACCAATGCCACTTTCCATTATAGGAATGTCATTTTTCATGAGAATATATTTCCATTTCATCATCCTTCATTCCTTTAGTCATTATCCAAGTTTGTTGACTCTTCAAAGTCCAGTCAAACCTTATTTCCAACTTAGTTGCCCTCACATCATGACATCCCTCATTCACCTTCAACCCCCAGTTTGCCAGAGGCTCACATTTCACCTAGAGATGGCAAAGGGGCCGAGC